CAAACAAAATCAAAAGCTTTATGAATTGCTAACCCAATTTTTCATATACTAAGAATCGCTAAACCAGTTTGTCAATACTAAGAATCGATAACCTAGTTCTGAATTAAGAAGAAACAAACAAAATCCGCGATGGAGAGAAGTTTGATGAATTGCTAACCCAATTCTGCGACGGAGAGAAGCGACGCAAAGGAGGAGGAGAGAAGCGAAGCAAAGGAGGAGGATAGAAGCGACGGAGAGGAGGAGAGAAGCAAAGCACATGAGGAGGAGAGAAGCGACAGAGAGGAGGAGAGAAGCAACGGAGATTAATTATATTAAACTTATCGTTTTGGAATTCAGACACAATTATTTTTCCAAAAATTAAACAGGTTAAATGGGCTACCCTTTTAATTTTGTGAAAACCCAATTAATAAACGGACCTAAACAGGTTAACCCGTTTAAATTCATTAAAAATAATTATACAAATGGATTTAAACGGGCTAATTTTATAAAACACACCCGTTTAGACCCGCTAATATTAAGCCCGTTTTAACATCCCTAGTGGCTATAATTCATGTTGAGTATTAGATGAAATTAAGTGATACATTATAAACTTGAATAGTTGGGTTGATAATGTATGTGTTGTAAATAAGCTGTCATTGGTAGCTCATCCCTGATAGTCTTGTGCGGTGATGTTTTCTGAACTATGACTGGTAGCTCAACCCGGACAGCCCATTAACCAGCCAACGGGCAAGTATAAGCAACTGTTGTATGTGAGTTAATACTGACTGGAGATATGAAATGTGAAAGTTTGAATGAAGCTTAAATATGAGTTTATTCTCCTCGAGTGTTAAGTGATAAGTTGGATGTGTGCGTAGTAAAAATATGTTGTTACATTATACTACCACTTTGATTTTAGTATAATTATTTATATTTGTATTTGGTGTTAATGTGGATCACATGGGTAGATGTGATCGTCTTTACGGAATAATTCGTTTCTCATGTATCTTATGATAGATGTAGGTGAAGGTCAGTTGTAGACTCAAATTTGGGTATAAAGTGGTGCTAGCTTTCAGGGGATAATGACGTACTCATTTACTATTTTTTTTTTAAAAGGATTTAAAGACTATTTAACTAAATATTTATTTTGAAAGTTCAGTTTGTGGTTTAATGTTAAGACGTTTTAAATTCCTAAATTATTTTTAATGAAAAGAGTTTTTAAAATATTAAAGATTTTAAATGATATTAAAGTTTTGGAAAGTCGTTAAGAATATGGATAATGTACTGTCTCAATTAAGAGACGAGCATTACAAAAGTAACCAAGTCGAAGACCTAAAAGATGGTGTTAGTTTCTCAGAGATTAAGAAAAAAGAGCACTTTATAGAGTTCATTTACAAGAAAGAGTACTTTCTTCAACTATGATTGTTTTTTTGTCTTTTTCCTTACTCTTTTGTCTATTATACCTTTTGTAAAATCACTATTCTTCTTTTCTACCATTCTTCATATTTACAGATCTATGACAATAAAATGATATCCAAACGTGGATAAGTGTTCGTGGACATCAACATATAATAGCCTACAATAAGTTTTAATGCATTTACAATGAAACGTTTATTAATAATTGTATGTTCATCCATAGTAGCTGTCCATAAAAGGGCATCTATGTGTAACCAAATGTAGATAAATAAGCTGATTATCGTCCATACTATCATGTCCATATATGGGACATCTATGCAAAATTGGCTGATCAACATACACTCCTTCAACTGCCATATCACTGGTTCAAAAGTATGTTGGGTTATGCAGATCAAGCATCTTACATAAATACAATATCCATAAGACATTATTCACATGTACACATAATTTGTATTGGAGGCAGCTCTCAGAAAAATGATTTGGGTTAATTTCGTTGTGAAGTGGTGCTAACGTTGAGATTTGTTGTAGTAGATCGAGGTAGACGACGAGCATGTGTGGATAGACAAAGCTGAATATGTTATTTGATACAGTTTTTATGGATGAACTTATATGGATATAAGATAATGGATGATATATAATTATGGATTAACAGCTGTGGATCCACGTGGGCTGAATATTGTGTGTTATCAATTGTGGATAGTCGATCCGGTAAATCTAGGTAGACAAACATAACCAAGTTGAATCTGCTTAGACGATAGATATTGGTTTGATGGACATCTTCCATTATAATAATTCCATGTATATATCCAAGCGTGGACGAGTGTTGACATCAACATATAATAGTATACCATGAATTATAATGCATTTACAATGTATCGTTTATTCATTATTGTATGTTTATCCATAGTAGCATGCCCATAAAAGGGTATCCATGTATGACCAAGGGCATCCATAAAAGGGCATGCATCCATAGTAGCATGTCCATAAGAAAGGCATCCATAAAAGGGCATACATAAATACAAGAAAAGTACTCTTCACCCACAAACCCCTGTATCCAATTGAATCCAAGAAAGCTCCACCGACTCAAACCTTTAACCAATCCGTCAAATTCAGCTCCGCCACACTTCACTTACCTCCGTCTTTTCCTCTCGACTCGCTTCTCCACCTTCTCGTTCACCTCTCTTCCACGCCGCGACATGCTAACTCCGCCGCCGCTCATTTCCCTTCCCTCGAGGTCTCCATGGAATCGAATCACAAATGGCACCAGGAGGTGAAATCGGTGAAACCTGTTTCGATTCCCATTTTGGGTATCGAAATTGAAAGCGACAAAAAGATTTCAGAGAAAAATCCTTGAAACTACTTTGCAGGAAGGAAAATGTGCTGTTTAATTCGATTGTGGAACTGCTTTTGCCCGGATTGAACAGTTCATTCGATTTTACCAAATCTGAATTGCTTAGAACCAGATTTTAAGGTTTTTATAATATGGTAAAAAAATAAATAAATAAAAATAAAATAAAATAGAGGATAAAACAGACTTTTCACACAAGAAAAGTACTTTTGTTGTAATAAGTATTTTTGTAATTAGACTTTTCAAAAGTATCTTATTCTGTAATATTCTCTTAGTTTCTTAAGTTTTTAGGAAACTTGGTATATAATCGCGCTACGCGCGAGTCTGTATGAATATTTTGGTTTATTTTTTTAGCTACTATCTTTAAAATTATTAAAAATTATAGAAATTTATAGAAATTTTTATTTATATAAGAGAATTTAATATATAATGTATAATATATCCTATTTTTATTTATAAATTTTAAAAACTATTAGGTAAAATAATAACAGTGACACCTATCAAATTATCTAACTTTGATGTACATATAATTTGATTTAGAGATATATATAATCTTGCTAAGATTTTGCTATTATTTTCTGTTTTTAATAGAATTTTTATAGTTCTTTTTTCTTGAAGGTTTATGTGTTCAAATATTTAGTTTTTTATTGAAAGTCTTATTCATGTTGTGTACCACTGTATATATAAGCCATGATTCATGTTGATTCACATTTAATTTTGTTAGGAAGCGATAATGATCATGCAAAACTATTTTTTCCTTCTCCATCATGTCTTCCAAGAGTTTTATGTTATATTTTTATTCAGTTTTCATTGTTTTAATTGTTAAATCGAATTGTTGAAGATTTTTTAAAAATTGATAATTGATAATGATTACTTTTTTATACATGTATTGTTAATTGTTAAATTGTTTATTTAACTTTTAAATTTTTAAAACCATATTAACATTTTCTGATTTAATAAATATGTTGATTTGGATCAATCAGATTGAATTTACTTTTTTTTATTGGACATAATTTGTTAAATTAACTTTTAATGTTTTAATTATACTTAATAATTTTTGATTTGATTTAAAAGCTGATGTGGACCAATTAAATCAAGTTTTTCCGTCCTAATCATACTTAATATTTTTTATTTAATGAATATGCTGATGTGGACCAATCAGATCGAATTTTTTAATCTCATGTGGACGCCCTCAATGCATTATGCCATCAACTTTTATATATTATACTAGTTATATAGCGCGGGTATGTTTTTTTATATTTATTTTTTTATATTTTTTAGTGATTTTATAAAAATATTTTTATTTTTTTTTGTTTTTATGTGTTAATAGTTTATAAAGTGAGAGTTAGTTTAACATATAAACATATATTAATATTTTAATATCAAATATATAATATAAATATATAGTAATTATCCATTAATAATTTTAATTTGTTATCGTTACAATATTTATTCAGCCCATCGTTACAAATTTAACAGCCCATCGTTATTCAGATTTATTCAGTATGGGCTTCGAATATCTACATGTTTTTTTCCCGGCCTTATTCAATTATAGTTTGTTTTAAAATATTTTTAACGCAATGTTAAAGTTATACAGAGAAATTGTAATTCCGTTGGGTTATTCATTCGTTCTTTTTCACCATAAGAACTCCCATTTTTGTGAATCGAGCTTTGATTTCTTCATTTATTGCTTTCCGGATTCTGTGAATCACCCATCCTTGCGGACTCTCTTACCATCTGAAGCTAATATTAAGTTTGGATCTTTCTCGCTTGGACCAAGCGCCCATATCCGCTTGAGCAGTTTCGCCTATTCGGATTTACATTTCTCATGATCGTTCTCTGTTTCAGAGCTCGATGAAACGCCAGCTTCGATTAACTCGTTTCCAATGCTTCGATTAGGTCAGTTACGTTTTTTGATTCTTTTGATTTTTGAGATTGGATCTCCTTATTCGTTCTTAGTAATTGCTTCTGGTTTTCTAAACAATCGTATTTTGCAGGTTTTATTCTGTATTCACTGGTGAATTTTTTTTAAGATTATTGAGATCTTGTTTACTAATTTTTTCCATTGCTTTTGTTAATTTGATAATCATTTTTTGTTGTTGTGTTTTTACAGAGGGAGAGCTTCTCTCTGATGATTTGCTTATTGGTATAATTGATATAGCAATGAATGGATTGGTGTTTTTCTGTAAACATGTGAGGAACTTCATCTAATTAAGTAAAGATGTTTTTTGAATGATTTTAGTAAAATGAATCTTGATTATTAAATATTGTATTCTACTTGATCTTATTCAATCTAGTGTTCAGTTGTGCTACATAAATTTAGAATACATTGTAATGTGTAATAAAAAAGAGTTAGAATATTATGTACTATGTAGGTAGCCCATTGTATATTTCCTTGTAGACAATATTTTTGACTGTCCTTTCCGCCTCTTTACGGGGTTTTAGAATAGTCAGACCTTTAGGAGATGTTACGCGTGAAAGCGCTACATATAGTTGACCATGACTGAAAACTGAATGTGGTAGATAGAGGAGCACTGATTTCAGGCTTACTCTTTTAATTGTAAGTGAATATCTATTTTATTATGACTCCCACCATTGACCATGTCATTAGTTTCTGGGCACAGAAAGTTCTCATCATTGATGAGTATTAATTTTCCAATAGCATCTACACATATACATGTCATTATAATAATATGACAATAGTATTATATATTTATATATGAATGGAAGAAATTTTACCATAGAGGTCTTCGTTCTTGTTGACAGCTTCGCTAAACTCAGCATGAGAACGAATACGAAAGTGTTGCCTCACAATAGTGTTGTCATATTGATCAGCTTGGACGAATGTTGTTTTCGGAGTGAATTGGATTATAAACTTATGGGAAGTGACCTTGTATGTAGTTTTGTTGTTCATGACCAGAAAGTTTGTAATCTTGTAGAGAACTCCAGGTTTTAGGTTTTCTTGAAAGGAGACTATTCGGGCAGCTGGTATGAACGCTTGAATTGTAGTGCACTGTAAAATTGTGTTAAAACAGAATTGAGTAAACAGAATATTCAGCTTGCGATGAGAAAAATAAACTTAATACGAAAAGAAACTTGCTAATACCTTTGAATCGAGAAGAAGTAGTTCATAACCCATTAGTAATCCGCCTTTTTTTAAGTTCCGTGCCTCCCAATAGTGGACAACTCTCGCTAGCAGTTCTTTCTTTGTAAAACCTTTTGTAAGATCATTGAAAAGCAAAGGAGAATCAATCTTGTGAGAATGAGAAGCAGTCATGATTGTAAGAGTAATTTTTTGTATCTCTCTAAGAATATGTTTGAGGTATGAGAATTATAAGGATCGTAATAGCTATTTATAGTGGACAGCCATGTTTGAAAAATTAGAAATTTTCCTAATCAGAATTATATGTTTTTAGCTTTTATCATTTAAATTATTTTTTGTTAATTTAACTATTTTGATATCAAATTTCCATTTAATTTTAAATGATACTATATTTTAGATATTCAACAAAATTTTCTTTTCTATTTTAGACTAACCATGTTTTAAGGATACAGTGATAGCAATGCAAGCAAGTTCTCCGACTGTTATGATCATAACAGCGTAACTGCAACAACAACAATAATAAAACTATCTATCGATTATAGAGCTAACGAAAAAAATTCTATAATATCTGCATTGGTGAGCGAAACTAAACCGAGGATTGGTGAGAAATATGTAACGAAAACCCTTAGTGGAGGCAGAAATGCTGAGGATGAAGAAGTACCTTTAGACTGCGATTGGAAGACTCGGCAATTTCTTTGGTGGCGCCGCTTGAAAGACAGATTAGGTATCGTGTTATAAATCTTTACCCTGAAAAAATACAGAAAATATTGTCTAATGTTAAATGATTCTGTGAAAACGCCGAAGTAATTCTTATAAAAATGCTCATTTAAGAAGAATTTCTCATGGGTTTAGAACTAATAAATATTTAAGCCCGAATTTTTTAAATAAGAAGAATTAATTTTTTATATATTATTGAATATCTCGAATGTCTACTATATTATCACAAAAAATAGTAATATCTTTTTTATATGTTATATATTTTTTAAATTAATAATTAATAATGATTGATTTTTAAAATTTTAAATCATATTAACAATTTTTGATTTAATAAATATGTTGATTTGGATCAGTCAGATTGAATTTATTTTTTTGTTGGACATAATTTGTTAAATTAATTTTTAATTTTTTAATTATACTTAATAATTTTTAGTTTGATTTAAAAAATGATGTGGACCAATTAAATCAAGTTTTTTCGTCCTAATCATACTTAACATTTTTGTGATTAATGAAAAACGATGATGTAGACCAATCATATCAAGTTTTTTTATCTTATATAGATACTATGCTCTCAACTTTTAACTTTTATATATTATATGATGTGTGGTATGGTTAATCAAAAGTAGGAAAACTAAAAAATTATATCACAAACGTTGAAAAGCCCAATGGCCTATTAAAGACGAAGCTGATGACTTTCTATAAGCCCATAAACTGTTTATCTACAGAGACAACCAAAACCTGATCTAAAAAGCTCTTTCAAAATCACTTTGTTATTTGTTTCGCCTTACCCGTAATTTAAAAAATTGCTGATTTCACCAAAAACAGATCTTTGAAACCAAGAAAATTCTTCTTCTAATCGATTAGCTTCCTAAACTCGTAGATGGAATCTCCTTCGTTCCTGGAATATCTCTTCTTCTTTCTCCTCCGTCCGTTTCTGGCAATCTCATTCGTCGTCTGCTTCATCGCTCTTTGTACTCTCTCTCCTCAGGCTTTCTGTATTTTACCTCATAATTTCGATCTCTAGAGCTCTCAGATGATGTTATTCTCTTTGAACATCTGGGTATTGCATAATTGTCTTTAGATTTTGACTTTTGTTGTTAACTTTGATTGTTTTATACTTTGTTCCTTCTTTTTACCCGGAGCAGGGTGGTTTCTGGCATGGAAGCTGGTATTACGCCATGTTCCTCTGGTACAAGAGATCTTTGGTTTGAGGAAGAAAACCTTTAAACCGAAACCCGAATCTCGCGGCAGAATCTCCAAATTCTACAAAAGTATCAGTTCTCGGAATCCTGTTCCACAATGGTAATTAACGTTTACTCTTTGTATTAATTGAAACGTGCAGAGATGTGAATTTCTTTTATTTCCTTTGTCCTTGAACTCTGTTTCTCTCAGAATTTGGAAGCTTCCATGATCCTCACAGAACGAGCACGTTGCAAATCCAGGAATATTCAAGTTAAAGCTTTAGTTCAACACCAAATCTCGGATCAATGTTTCCATGTCTTCACACTGATCCTATATTATTGTAAAGAAAACATGCTTTGATTTATGTATCAGGTCAAAAAAAAAAATTTAGGATCAAATTTTATGCTTGACACTACAAGAACCTGAAGCTTGTGATCAAATCCATGACCAACCAAGTCTCACCAGCTAAAGAACTTCTCTCGTTCAGCCACGAGCTGTGTTTCTTTTTCCCGTTTGATAGGTGAAAAGAAAATGACTTTAAACACAAGATGTGGATAATTTACCGAACATCGACTCAAGGAGAAGGTGTAGTCTCCTCAGAAGCTGAAGGAGTCTTCTTCTTGATGGCTCCTAGAGAGACTCTAACCTTAGCTGGTCTCAGAACACGATCTCCTAGAAGAAATCCCCGGTTAAGCTCTTCGGTTATTATCCCTGCTTTAACCGCCTTAGATTCTTCTCGCGAAATAGCCTCGTGCATCTAGAACAATAAAGGATACTACTAAGTCACTCAAACCCCGCTAAAACAACAAACATTTTACTCCACTTATTGGCACACAAGAATCATGCAACTAAGTTATGTTAATATAACTAAAACTTCCTACTACATATAGCAAAGACAATCATTGACTCCATCAACCTCCATAACTGCCTCAGGAGCTCTAATCAAAGTATTTTCTTCACTATACCAATTATTATCTCTGCATATACATCTAGTGTAAGTAAAATTCGCTGCTACTATGCTTATGCTAGCTTTGCTCCCTTAGTGTTTATCAAACTACCTACTAAATAAGAGATGATTCTAATAGAATGATTCATTCAAGGATCCTATAATGGCACAAAAGGATCATAAAACCAAGTTACGTTGATATAATTGAAGCTTTCTACTACATATGCAAAGATAATCATCGACTCTCTTACCAATTTCAACTTAGTATCTACTACTAAGAAAATATCAAGTTGAGAAATCCTATTTTTACTGATCAAATCACAAAAACAATAGAATACAGAGGATGTATGTTGATTTTCCATCAACCTCCACAACGACTCACAAGCTCTAATCAAACTCTCTCTTCCTGAAACTATATCTTCATTATACCAATTATAACCTCTACATATAGAACTAGTGTAATTGAAAAATCGGCTTCTACACTCTAATGCCTTCTCAGCTTCCTAAGAGTTTACCAATATCAATGTAGTATCTATGACTATGATAAGATTAAATCGCGGAAATCTCTTTTTATTATCAAATCACAAGCACAGGATGAACGCAAAGTCTGAACAAGATCAATACAGAAGATGTTTCTGATGTTTCCATCAACCTCCACAACGACTCACAAGCTCTAATCAAACTACCTCTTCCTGAAACTATCTTCTTTATTATACCATTTATAATCTCTACATTACAACTAATGTAACTAAAAAATAGGCTTCTTCAACTCTAATGCTCACTTACCTTCCTAAGTGTTTATCAGGCTACCTACTAGATAAGAGGACCTTCTTAGTGATGCAATAAATGAGGTACAATGACTTCACTCTTTGATATAAGCTAAAAGATTACATTTTGCTGCAGAAACTGAACATTTTGAGGAGCATTTACTTACCAAGGGATCAAAGGGCTTGCCCACAGTCGCAATGGCTTTAAGACGAAGATGTCTCAACACCTCAACGAATTGCCTGTAAATTCCCTGATAACTCGTATCGATCTTTTTCTCCATTTCCGTATCGGGTTTAATCTGTTGCCTCGCTCTCTCGAAACTATCAACGAGTGGTAAGAGGCTCTTCATGATCTGCACTTTTGCGTTTGACTCTGTACTAAGGCGATCCTTTTCAAGCTTTTTCCTTGTGTTATCGAAATCAGCCTGCAACCGAATCTTCGTCTCCTGCTCCGAAGCTATCTTCATCGATAATGATAAAACCTTGTGGTCCAATATGTTCCTTTCCTTCTCGATTCCGCGAAAAATCGTTTGGATTTCCGATACGGCGATTTCGTCTCCATTGAAGAGAGCTTGTTTATAAGCTCTGATTAGGCTTTTCGCATCTGTTGGGTGCCTTGAATTCGCTTCTTCACTATTAATCTTCGAATCAAAGAACATCCGAATTAGAAGAAGCTCTTGAATTTCAATCTTATTCTCCAATTAAAGAAAAATTCAAAATCTGGAGCCGAATCTGAGACTTACAGGAGTAAGAAGAATATAGAACTTACAGGTGAAGCTTGGTGAGCAGAGAGAGATGCTATGTAGCTCCTGCGACTATTCATGATTAGTGGCGATAGATAGAAGAATGGGAATCCTCGTTTGGGTTTCGAATTGAATGGAGATGAAGAAGGTCTGCCATGAAAATTGAGGTATCGTAAGGGTAAGGTTCTTGATTTTCTGGTGGGAGTTGAGGATGAAGATGGAGAAGAAATAGAAGAGAAGGAGAAGCAAGGAGCTATGGAAGGATCGATTACGAGAGAAATCGCCATTATCCGATTGTATTTGCTATCTGTTACGGATCAATGGGATGCCCCTAGCCGTTCAAAAATGATACTCCCCATATATTTGGGTATTTGTATAACATTTATTTTAAATAGAAAAAAATAGTAGATATGGATTCTGTTTTTAAAAACTTAACAAAATTATAGATCTAACTAGGGTAAACCCACTCAAACCCTAGTCCGTTTTTATATCACAGATACTTAGTTGGATTTTAGTATAGGAAACTGCATAAATTACTCTTTCATCTTCTTTATCGATCAAAGGTAAATTTTAGAGTAAAACTTTTAAAAAAAAATGGACGAAACCACGATTGATCCTAGTTCGTCAGAACCATTATGAACAGTTACTCAAAAAAACTAAAGCAAACTCTCAGCACAGCAAACGATTTGTAGGCGAATCAGAGAAGGTAAGTGTTATAATCATGTCGGTTTTCTGAGATGCATGTCGATTTAGATTCCATTATAACTGATGGAGTTGTGGGATTGTTCATGTAGGCGTATGACGCGTACAAAGAAGCCGAATTATGGTTTAAGTGATGAAGTTTCAACGGAGGTTTGAAGATCTAAGAGAACCTCTCAGGTTGTCTATGAAGATCCGGACCCAGAATCTTCAAAGGACGAAGAAGCAGGAGGCAACGACGGAGATGACAGAAGCAACCATCACGGACGACAGCGCGTCCGATTCTTCAATGGTATGTACCCGAACCATCATTACTTGGTTTTCGATTTTAAAAGAATTGGTTGGTTTTGGATATCGGGTTTGGTTAAAGTACTTTCGTTTGGGTGATTGATTATATAACGACTCTTTGTTTCTAATTTAGGCTATCAGGTTTTCATTTTCGTGATTGTTGTTTCGAATGTAAGGTGAATTTGTGTTTTAAGTAATATTCTGTGTTTTTAGTAAAACTGGTAAAACTAAGTTCATTTCGTATGTTAGAAATTTCTGGAAAAAAGTAATACTTGGTACAACTATGTTGCAGGAAACCGAGCCAATGCTTCCTATGGAGATGTACTTCCAGCCAACGGAGTACGTGAAAAAAAATCAAGCTGTCTACAAGGTATTATATCTCGAAAGCAGTGGAGTTACTGCTAAGTGGATTAAAGTATCCACTTAAACCAGAGGAGAAGAGTTTGTTTGTGGATCACCTCCAATTCAAACATTTTTTTCCACATGCACAAGGACTTAAACCACAAGGTAATGGGGATGTGGTTGCTGCTTCTTCGACCGGTTATGGAGAAGAAAATGAAAGTCTGGTTCATTGTGAATGGCGTGCCCATTCGGTATGGTCTACGTGAATACGCCCTCATCTCGGGTTTAAACTGTCGGAGCTATCCTCCTAACTACACGGAATTGGGCAGTATGGAATTTGTGGAGAAATCCACCAAGCTTGACGATGCGCTGTGGGCATATAGGACGGCACTTTGGGACGGGAAAAAAAATAAGATATTCTGATGTGAAAAAAAAGCTTCAGAATATGAGATATTCTCCAGATCGGTGGAAGATGGCTATTGTAGCATCCGTATCCGAGAAAATGTGGAATGATCGTACCGGACAGGACAGTGTCCGAGGAATGATCGAGCCAAGGGTCGAGTATTGGCTGGGAAATGGAGGTTCGGACTATGGTCGGGTGTTGACCGGTGAAATAGTCGGATGTGACTGGATAGCCGAGCCGGATGGACCATATCCGAGGGAAAACAGGGTCCAGTCCGTGGGAAATGGGATTTATCCGAGTGCAGTGGGATATATCCGAGAGTCTGGGAGAGTGTCAGTGGACTGTCTCTGAGGGGGAAAAGGGAAACCTCCGAGAGAAATAGAGGATTAGCCGAGGCGGGACGAGTTGTCCGAGAGGAAAAAGAAAATCCGGATGGAAAATGGAAAACACCTCGGATAAGGGCGGTTTATCTGAGTGGGAAGGGATTTGGGCCGTGGGCCAAGTGTTAGGTCGGTTATTTTGGGGTTTATCGAGTGGATGGTCGAGCCGGTACAGGGAATAGCCGAGGAAAATCGAATCAGACCGGGATAATCCTACTGGAACCAGGAAAACGTCGGATAAGTCCGAGTTACCTAGGGTTTTGCGAGTATATAAGGGAATTTGAGACTTAACTCGAGGGTGTTGCGTTTGTTTGAGCTAAATAAAGCAAAGATAGAGTTTAGTCAAGAGAAAACCCTAAGAAAATCAGTTTATCCCGAGGACATCCGAGAGAGATCAGGCTATCGCCGAGCAGAACCGACCATCGCCGAGATAAACTGGTAAGCGATCGGATATTTCCCTAAGTGTTGAGTTTTCATCAGATAACCTCGAGCTAATAGCCTTGTTTTGTGGGGTTTCTTAGGGAAAACAGAGTTTGGCTCGAAGGAAGGTGAACAGATCAAGAGATAGCCGAGGGGATAAGGATCAGATCGTACCATGAGCCGAGAGATTCTTAGGGAGATCGGATATCTTCGTTTTGGTGCGGTTTTCATCGGGATTTCTTCTGACCAATCTGTTTCCAGCCTTGTCTAAGGTGAGTGCGTGACTGTGGTTGGTGTCTAGGACCGTAGGATTACTAGGGTTGAATGTTTGCATGTTGATTGTGTGATTTTCATGTTATGTGTTTAGAACTGATAAGCAATCTTTATGTTATGATATATTGTGGAGTTTACCGTGGCATATATGATGTTTAGCTAACCTCAGGGTAATCCGGATCATGTACTAGCTTAGGGGATGTGGGATTCTCGCTGAAGTAGACATGAGTCTTAAAAAGGGATTGATCTTGGTTGGTTAGGCTAGATGTTCATGGCCGTTTGATATTGTTATGTCTATTGCGAATTGATTATGTTGAATGTTGAATCCGAAAGTATGATTGCGTGTTTGGTACTGACCAGGTGTTACGGGATGACCGTACTCACTAAGTATTTATGAAATACTTATGCCTCTCATCTTGAGTGTGCAGGTACTAAGCAGTAAAGGGGCGAGACCAGGCGGCAGTGATGGATATGGATGGATCGGGACTGGGTTTTATTTATGTTTAAGACGTTATGCTTTGTCTTATGGCTTTGGTGTTTGACTATTTAGGTTGTTAGATGATCGTTTGTATTCATTAGCGAACCATTGTGATTTGTTTAAGTTAGCCCCGAATCCTGTTTAAGTGTTTTATGAAAGTTAAATGAATGAAATGAGTTGCTCTATATTCCGCTGTGTATTGATAAGAAAGAATAAGAATGAAGAAGAAAAAGTTTAAAATATGGCTAAGTATAGAAACGGACTTAGAGGATGTAGTGGGACACAGCCGTGGTACGGTTTACCGGGTTGGGTTACCACAAGTTGGTATCAGAGCATTTTAACGCTTCTAGGACTGAAATTGGTGACTGCTGTTGTTTGTTTGTTTGGGGTTTAAGGAGGGTCCGATTCATTCTTCACTGCCAAGGTCTCGCGGTAAGTTGTTGTGTGGTGTTGTGAAACACGTTTTGAGTTAGCTTCGACTAACTGGCATTGTGTACTTGCAGATGGTTGATACCAGAAGAACCGTGAGAAACAATGGGGACAACCAGGCTGCTGGGTCTGTGAACTCAGTCAACGGTGATGTGGCTGAGAGGGCAAGGGAAGCCGAGAGACAGGCAGCTGCGGTTGCGAATGAGGCGGCTAGAGTGGCAGCCGTGGAAGCAGCAAGGAATGCTGCGGATGCTGAGAACGTGGCTAGGAATGCTGCGGGTGCAGCTGGGGTTGCTGAAAATGTAGCACCAGTGGGGTTAGAGGCTGTGCTTGGGATGTTAGCACAGGTACTAGCTAGGCTACCTGCGGTGGCTCCTGCTCCAGCGGTTGCAGCAGCACCACATGTAGTACCACCGGTGGGGGTTCACGCGGATGTGATTGGGGAGGAAGCGGACCAAGTGGAGAGGGTTCCGAGTTACCTCAAGGTTTTGGATCACATGGTGCGATTGGGAACCAAGTTCTTTGCTGGAGGTTCTACACCGATTGAGGCAGATGAGTGGAGGATGAGACTGGAACGGAACTTTGAGTCTATCCGATATCCAGAGGGTTATAAGAGAGACATTGCCGTGCACTACTTGGAGGGTGATGCACACACGTGGTGGAAAGGAATTGTTGGAAGGCTGGTGAATGCAGATTGTTCTTATGAGACATTTTCAGCGATGTTCAGGAGTAAGTACTTCCCACAGGAAGCTTACAACGAGTTGGAAAAGGCGTTCTTGTACCTTAGTCAGGGGACGCTTACAGTAAGGCAGTATGAGACTCAATTTAATCAGCTAAGGAAGTATGTGTCTCATGAGTTTGACACGGAGGAGAAGTGATTCGCAGGTTTATGAGTGGACTGCGAGTTGAGCTAAGGAATGGGTGTGTGGTTCGTGACTTCAAGACAGTTGCTGAGCTTGTTGAGAAGGCGGCATTGTTGGAGTCAGGACAGGCGGAAGCTGCGTTGATGTCAGCTGGGGCTAGTACAGCCGTGACCAAGGCGGGTCAGTCTAGTGGACAGAACCGGAAGTTTGGGAAAGGAGTACCAAATAAAGGATCTGGGGGACGCAGCGTGTGCAGCAAGTGTGGCAAGGCTCACGTTGGCGATTGTAGGCGCGGTGGTAGTGGATGCCACAGGTGCGGGAGTTTAGAGCATCGGGTACGAGACTGTCCGGAGGAGGATCAGCGAGTGGTCCATGTGTCCGGCAGTGATGGTGCGGTTTGGGTTTGCTACGGTTGTGGAGAACCAGGGCATTTCAAGCGTGAGTGTCCTAAGGCAGGAGTGGTGGAGCAAGCCGTGGCTCAAGGGAAGAGAGCAGGGGAGGTGCTTGCATCACAGGCCGAGAGACAGGCCATTATGCCGAGGGTGTACACGACGAGTGCAGCAGCAGCCGAGGAACCGAGCACTTCTCATCCGATTACTGGTACGTGTGGTACTTAGTATTTTCTAAACTTGCTTTTGCGTGATGTGTTTTAGTATAGAGTCTTAGCATTCTAGGGAATGAATGTGTAGGGACCTTGCTAATGGGTGAGGTT